CCACTCAAGAGAACAAACTTGATCATAATCACTCTAGACTTCCTAATGACCAGAGCCTACCTGCCCAAGAAGAGAATCTCCACTATGTCCAGTCTAATCTCTGCACTACAGCACAGCCCTCAAACAACTGCAAGGATCTGCCTACAACTCCTACGCTCCATGTTCGTGTCCATGTTTGTGACACCTCACAGAAGACCACACCTCAGATGCCTTCAGATGTGGCTATGGGCTGTGTAGTCCCCAAACAGACCCATCTTGCATAAAACATATCTTAGTTATGCCTTATTTATATCATAACAATATTTCTCTGAAGAATATGGGGTGTAGCATCACAGGATGATGTCCAGTCAGTCCTCTTATCTATCAGGAAACCTACTACTTGCAAAACTGACTTGTAGAAGAGGAAACGTTGTCATTCCTTATGTTCTTGCCACAGAACATCTTTTCTTTTCCAGCCTCAGAAGTTCTGATGTCCAAGATCCTAGACTACCAGTTGGACTTAAAGACACAGGGTCTGTCAATGAGCTCAGCAGAGTACACTTAGCAACTGTTAAAGCCTTCCTCTCGCCTATTGAGAACTTCTGAGTTTTAGCCCATCCTACCACTATCAGATTCCTTGCTCCCCCATGGGACCTAAATTCAATTTTCAGTTCCTTAGGGAAACCCCTCTTTGAACAATTGGCTACCTGTTCTCTCTGCCACCTTTCTCTCATTCCTTATAACTATCACTTCACTAGATGGGTGGGCGAACTCAGTGTGCTCATGACAGACCCACCATTCACTACATTCTGCAGAGACAAGGTCACATTATGTCCCTATCCTTGTTTCCTCCTTAAGGTTTCTTCATAATACTGTATTAATCAGGAAATCCATCTACCAGAGTTCTATCCAAAGCCTCAGGTCAGAAGGGCTCTCAACTTCTACTTAGAACCAAGGCCTGTAGGACCTCTCCCATATTCTTTCTATCCTTTGCTGAAAGGATGAAAGGGCAGCTCATTTCCATGAAAAGATTATCGAAGTGGGTCTTAGGTTGCATCTTAACATGGTATGAGCCTGTAGGAATACAGCCTCCTCACAGAGTGAGAGTACAGTCCACAAGGGCTTAGTCAACATCTCTAGACCTTCTGAAAGATGTTCCATAGCAGAAATCTGCAGGACTGCAACTTGGTCCTTCCTCCATACATTTGACAAGCAGTACTCTATCGTACCTGCTTCCAGAGCTGATGCATTTGGTGATACAGTCCTCCAATCTGTCTTGGATTTTCCTCCTCAGCACCCACCTCCATTTGAGTTACTGCTCCATAGTCTCCTACAGTGGAGCACCCTTGGGACATATACTCATAAAAGGAGGAGAGGTTACTTACCTGTACAGTAACTTGAGTTCTTTGAGATGTTTTATCCCTATGGGTGCTCCACTGTTCCCCTCTGTATTCCTAGTATCAGTCAGGTGTACAGAATACCAAGTGTCTGTATTGCATTTCAGAAATATGTACATATAGAAAAGAAAAAGCTTGAGATCTTTTAATTTTAAATATTTGATGTCTGTATTTTCAAATGAATGTTTTACTGTGGTGATAACCAAGAGGGGAGTGGAGGCAGGGAGTATTTTCACAGCTTTGTCAAAGTTATTTCCTAGAGATTTGCTGCACTCTGGTCTTTGACAACCTTTTCCTCCTTCCTCAGTTATTTTGCCTTCTCCTATTTCTTTATTATTAGCAACTCTGCTTTTGCCCAACCACCTAAAACTTTGGGTATGAAATCCTGGCTCTATTGAAGTCAGTGGGGCCAGGACTTTTTTCCAGATGCTTTAGTTGTACTAGTGATCTCCAGCATCCCATTAAAAATAAAATGTCACAACTAAAATTTGGATGTACCAATATGGCATTTATTCAGGAACCTCCAGTGAAATGTGGATAGGTAATATATGTTTTAGCATCAGAACTATGTATGAATGAACAAACAAACAAACATAGGTAATGATTTTGGTACCCAAATTTGTGCCTTTCAAATTGTTAAAAAGAACAGGTTGCAAACAGAATTATGTTGTTGAATACCTGTTCATTTAACTATATTAGCTTTCTGAGCATTTAGCTCTTGAACGTGGTCAAGCCATCATTAATTCAGTTGGTTTATTGGTAAATTGGATCAAAACTTGGAAAATTATTAGAGACACATGAAAACCCTGTAGAACCCTATCCCTAAGACTTCAAGTGAGTTACTCAAGTATTGAAAACATTTTGGTTTTCAAGGTGATGTGACATCACATAGGAATCACATTTTTATTTTGTGACAGGCAATATGTATAGTAGGATATAGTAGATCTACTGATGAGTATCCTTTCCTCTCTCACCCCAATATTCTGGATAGATTGAATTATGGTGTCAGCTGAGTGAAATATGTGAGTGGTGATTATACAAACAGGATGTTCTATGTTGCAACTATATTTATCCATTTATCCATCCTTTTCTAAATCCTGAGCTGAAATCCGTCACTTCAAATAACTTAGTTTCACAATACAGCTGTTGTTGTGTGTCCGTCTGAGATCTGTCTCACTATGGATAGGCATAGTGTGTGCGTTTTGTTTGAATTTGCATTTGTTCTCATTCTTATTCACAAAGGATCAGAAGTAGTTGGGCATCTGTCAACCAGACAGTTTACGGAGCTAGACTTCAGCTGTTTTTTGGAAGGTTAGTTAGCCAAGCTAATGTATTGTATTGTAGTAGTGCTGTTTAGTACTGTAGTAGTTCAGAAAATGTGTATGAGGAGGTATAAACCTTATTTGATTTATTTTATTGCTGGATTTGTAACTGTTGAAGGATTTTTGATATTCCAGAGAAATATGGAGTCACCTTAATTGAGATCTTCAAAAAGGCCACTTGATAGCTTAAAAGCAGCTATTGGAAGAGGAAGAGCAGCCTTAGTACTAGATTTTTTGTTTCCACCCCTCTCCAGTAGCATCAGATGGAAGAGTATGCCATCTTTTGGGGGTGTTGTTATACTGAGAATTTTTATAGTTTGTATAGCTGTGTATTTTGTAGTGGAGAATGATAATACCCAAGAACAGTGGTAGAAGCGATTCAAAGGCTTCTGAATGCTTTCTCCCCACCATCAAGAGTGCTGTGTTGTTTTTATTTAATTACTCTTTGGAAGTAGTCTTCCTTCTGGGTGGAAGTACTTATCGATGGTAGTGCCCTCAATTTAATTGGCTACAACCTAATAAATAGAACTTGTGACCTCAGATTAACTTTAATACTCCAAATTATTTTTTGTTGTAAATTGTTATTCATTCCTGTGATCTGTCCTCTGTAATAACGGTTTAACAGCTTTGTGCATAAAAACCTGTTTTTCTATAGTATATTTGTCTGAGACGGTTCCTACTGTGATACCTTGATATTTTAGTTCCTGACATTTTCTGTTTGAGTGTTGATTGCTAGTATAAAAAGGGGTTGCAATAGCAGCTTTACCTTGTTCCTCTGTGTAAATTAAGTGGGAGTACAAACTGTTTCTTCCTGCAGAATGGAGTAGAACCGAATCACCTTAATCTAGTTAATGTATTTATCCAGGAAGCCCTTGTGTCCAATATTACAAACACTTGTAAGGACTTTTTACAAACTGTCTGTACTGGGCAATCTTGATTATCATTTCAAAAGTTTTTTTTTTCTCTTAATTAATTGGCCTCTCAGAGTTGGTAAGACAACTCCCACCTGTTTATGCTCTC